TTACAGTATTAATGTCTAGCTACATAGAAGGTTAAGTATTATCCATGATAGATATTATTCTTTAGAAAAAATAATATTATTTTATATTGTATCAAGACTCTAGAATACATTGATTGTATTATTCGAAGAGTACTTTTCTTATTAACAACTGTTTTTTTTTCACAGGATATTATCAGTTTCTTTTTCATTATATGAGCGCAGGATAAATGAAATAAACTCGTTTATGAACGATGTATTGAACAAAAAAATAAATTGAAACTAAGATTTTCGTCGGAGAGATTAACAAATAAATTTTTTTTGAAGAACACAATAGAAGATATCGGATCTTTTAATGTCTTGAGAATTTTATATTCATAAAGATGTTTTTTGTTTTTCAAAATTTCATATCAATCGAATAAAATTCATTTTCAATCATTTATCAAAACAAATCATAAAATTTTATATTTTCTAAACTTTTATATAGGTATTTATCGTCAAGCTGGACATGAAACAAAAGTAAAACAATTATTAAACGAATTACTTGAAGATCCATTTACTAATACATTAACACGTGAAAATTATTCTGAACATGATGTAGCTAATGGTTTAAAACGTTTTTTACGTCAATTAGATACTCCATTATTAGGGACACGTCAAAATTATGATGCATGGTTACGTTCAACAGTTGATTCTAATATAACAACTGAACAAATTATTCAATATTATCGTGGTTTACTTGTTGATTTAAAACATAATTATCCAATAAATTATGCAACATTAAGAAAAATGTTATTACATATTCAAACTGTTTCAATGTTATCGAATCGAAATGCAATGATTTTATCAAATCTTGTTTCAACATTTGCACCATGTATTATATCTCAACCAACACTACCACCACCATCACAATCACTCGTAAATACACATACAAATGAACCACGTGAACATCGTGGAATTTCATTCGATGATCTTGATATGAAATATTCAAAAATACAAGAAGATAATATTTCATTATGTGATGATGAAATACAAGATTCAATTGGTACTTTAGTAAATACTTCTACACCAGCAAAAGTTAAACGAAATCAATCACTTCAATGTAAGAATTTAATTTATATGTGTAAATATCTTTTATCTTTCTTGAGATCATAACTTTGAACTGTTTTTTATACTCTACATGATTAAACGTAAAAGTTCGGTTTTTTTTTCGTTTATCATATTATTTTAAACATATATTATCAAAATATTCAATTGAATAGATATCAATCTGAGATATGTCTTATTCCTATCATTAGATAAAATACTGAAAATAATAGAATGAAAAGATTCATTGGATATGACAGAAGTTCTGAAATCGATTTTAACACTTATTATTCTTAAAATCAACAAAAGCAAAGTTTTTGTAACTTCGGTAGATTATTGTACATGTTGACCAGAGAACTATTTCAGCTGTAATACGCTGTTTGAACTCATATTGAACTTATAAGAAGATCTCAGTAAGATTAGAAAAAATCTAAAAGAATTCGTTTCTATGGACTCTTGAAATAGAATTATGACTGTTGAATTGAATTTTCGACCTGAAATTTTGCGTCTAATAACGCTTAGAATATCTTGAAAGTTTTAGCTGAAAAGAATAATACTTTATCAAGATATTAAATTGTCATGTATTAGTCGTTTGCTCTAGACAAGCCAGTGTATTTGAAAATTCAATATCTCAACCAAGGAGAATTTTTTTTCAGCTAAAACCTTCAGGATATTCTACTGATGATTAGACCTATCTATGGAGAAAATTTCAGGTTGAAATTGCGTTACTTGATTGTTTTGGTATATATTTAAATTTGGGTCGTACATTCAGTAAAACAATCATAACACGGCTTCAACGACTCATTGAAACGAACCTCTGTAAGCTTTCTGAAGCTTTACAGAGCTCATCTTAGGTGCTTAATATAAACTCAAACGGTGGGTTATATTTGGAGTAGTTTCCTCGTTAGTAGTCAATAAATACTAAGTTTCAGAACCAATAACTTTTACTAAGAATGACAAATTATAACAATATTACCGTGCACTATTTTATCGATTTTCCAATTGCATAAGCTATGTATCTGATTACCTGATGTATTCTATAGGTCAAATCTTGCTGAGTTGATCATCTTGAAAAATTACATTTTCCGAATTATCTAATTGTTTTCTTGTTGCTAATCCTTATATTTCTGCTATCGATACATACAGAAATAAACATATATTTGCGAAGAAAATAGGTTTTTTTTTATTTTGCACGTGTTTCAGAAAGCAACCTTAGAATTCATATTTTTCTAAACATTTTCGTATTACATTCTATAAATTCAAACGTTTTGGAGAATATTAATTAATCTCAATATTAACAAATTTATAGAATCAATGTTTATCTTTAAAATACTGACTGTTGTTTTTTTTTCTTTTTATTCCATAGAAAGTAAATCTCTGTTAGACGAATTTATTTAAAAAATTTCAATAAAACTCAGAATTTTTAAAATTATCTTTTTTTTTAAGCTTCTCGTAGTTCTATGATTTCAATATCTCCACCATCACGTTTTCCATTATCATCATCTTATGTTCGCGTAACACCATCAATACAAGCTGATCTTGAAATAATGAATAATCTTTGTAAATATTATCGTGAATTATTTGATGTAAGTAATGATGAAATAGAACATGAAAAAAAATGTGTTGAAACATTAATATCATTACGAACAAATCAATGTCAACCACGTAAATTAGATGGTACAATGGTTTCAGTTTATTTTGAATCACGTGCTGATGAATTAAATGGTTATGCAATAAATATTTTAGAACAAGAAACAACAGCTAATCATGTTATTGATAAATTATTAAAACAAATTCATAAACATGATTGTTTTTTTTGGGCTTTATTTGAAGTTATTATTGATCAAAATCTTGAACGACCAATGTATTCAACAGAAAATATTTCTAATGCATTAAATCGTTATCGAACATATTTACCACAAGAATTAAATCGACAAGCAACATTTGTTGTTAAACTTAATTATGTACAATTTGAAAAAGAACGTTTACAACAACAACCACAACATGATTTATCATCTGTTGAATGTGAATATTTTGATTCAATTAGTAAACGTTGGATACCATGTTTATGGATATATGAAAAATCAAATGTAAAAATTCAAAAAATAAAAAAAAAATAACAAGCAGGATCTTATTTTTCTTCTTTTTTTTTTCAGCTTCAAATTCATCGAATATCAAATGAAAAATTTATGAAATGGAAATCACGTTTTACAAATTCATCAACACCAAATACTTCCTCTCGAAAAGAATCCATATTAAATTCAAGTTTAATATCATCATCTGAACAACAAACACAAATATATTCATGGTTTGTTCAAGATTTATATCTTTATATTGGTGCTGATCGTCGTATTGTTAATCCATTTGATATGAATGAATATCGTACATTAACTATATCACATATAGATTCAATAAATGAATCAACATTTGGTATTGCATTTCGTTTTAATGATCGTCATCAAATGTTTGCTTGGTATTTGGAATTAGTACGAATTAATGGACATGATCAATGGACAAGACAAGCATCTCATACAATACCTGATGGTGTTAATTATTTACCATTACAAAATTATCATGCACCATCAACATCATCAATATCATCGAGAAAAAAATCTGAACAAATAAAAACAAAATTAATTACAAAATCAAATCTTGTTGCTTCGAGTTTTGGAAAACAATTACGAAAATAATTTATTTGTGAATACACGGTGCTATGTTAATAAAAACGAACAATTTTCTTTGTTACTTTTTTTCTTTTTTGTATGTGTATAAACCTCTGTCGTTGTTATATTGTTGTCTGATTTTTCGGTTTTTTTCTATGTTCATATTGATAAATCTTTTTTTTTCCGCACTCATTTATTCATAAAACAAAAAAAAAAAACATTCATCGAAAATCTTTTGATGGAAAAGATTGTTGAACAATACAGATGATAATTCTTTTTAGATAAAAATGAAAATTTTTTAAAATTAATTACTAATCACAATTTTTAATGTAAATAACAAAATTTATTCATTTATAATTTTAGTTTTCCTAGTCAATAATAAAGGTAAATATAACATAATAAGTTTTTATGATATTTTATTTAAATAAACAATAATTATTAAGAAAAAATATTACGAAATATTTTTCGTCATACGTTGTTTATCGAAGTTTTTTTTTTCTTTCTTTGAAAATGAAGAGACGAAAATAGCATAATAAAAGAGACGCATTATACGACCTATTATATAACATATATTTTCGCCTTTTTTTTTTCTTATCTGTACTGGCAGAACTTCATAATTTAAGAGTATTTAGAACATTCTCTGACAGTTTTTTTTTACTTATTTTTCTATTTACAAATCGGTTATATAATAAATTTATTTTCTAACAAAACATGATGTATCATAAGTATTTCATGAAACAGGTAGTAGGTCATTTTAGTTATATAACGCAAGGTGAATGCGGTCACAATATTTTTCTAGAAAAAAAGTAATTAAGAAAAAAAATCAGGTTTTGATTATAGATAAATGAAACAAAAAGTTAGTTTTGTGTTTTTTTATTTTTATTTTCTTTTCTAATTTATTTTTTATATTATTCAATAACAAATAGAAACAAGGTCATCGTGATATTCAAAACCGTTAGCTAAATCGAGTTATATAAGCATGTCTGGTACACTATAGAGTTGCAATGTTGTAATCAGTCGAAGAAGGACATGGAGGAAAGCAAGAATAGCTAGAACAGAAAAGAATACGAAAAAAAGGAGAAGAAGCGGAGGAAGAAAAACGAGGGAGTTAAAGAACGAGCGATAAACACTGCTCACGTAATCGATTGTTGTGTGTTGAGGTTGAGTAGATATACTCAGAAAACATTTGATAATACATAACAAAAAAAAAAAAGACATTTCATTAACATTAGTATTATTTACTGAAATGTTTGTTTCATACCAGTTTACTCAACTATGTTTCCTGCATACAATAACTCGACAATAAGAAAAATTCGGTCTAGACGTCAAAAATCAAAATTAAGACAACATCATTCAATACAATCAACAAAACTTAATCAACAAATAAAAATAAATTCATCTTTAATTAATCGTTTTTATGATATATTAAATAATCTAAAAATTTCTTGGTCACATTTTTTATCATATACAATTACAGAACTCGAACCTATTTGTCAACAAATAGCTATACAACAAATGTCATCAACAACATCAATTACAGAATTTTGTCCATTAATTTGTATATTTTGTCAAAATTTAATCTATGAACCAATAACACTTTATTGTGGTCATACATATTGTAATCAATGTATAAAAGATGAACAATTATCATCAAATATAAATTGTCCACGATGTCCACATGACATTCAAGGACAAATACAATCATCTATAATACATGCACGAGAACAATCTTATAAAAAAAATCGTCTTCTTAAAGAATTATTTGAACATTCAGAAAAATTAAAAATAAAATGTGAAACAATTTTATTATGTCAAAAAGGACAAATAGAATATTCACATGGAAATTATCAACAAGCAATAGATATTTATTCACAGATAATTGATCAATGTAAGTGAAGAATTTTTTTTTTGTCTTTTAACTAAATTTATTTAAATTTTTATAGATGATAATAATGATCATCTTGCATTATATCATCGTGCTAAAGCATATTCAGCTTTACAAAATTATGATCAAGGTCTTATGGATGCAACACGTGTTATTACACTTAAACCTCGATGGATAAAAGTGAGATTTCCTTTTTTTTTCTTTTTAAAGCAAAAATACAAAAGAAACTGTTTTTTTTTATTAGGGTTATTTATGTCAAAGTGAAATACTTTTTGAAATGAGACATTATTCAGCTGCACTTATGGCATCTTTAAAAGCACTTGTAATTGATCCAGAAGATCAAATTGGAAAACAAATAATGGCTCGAGTAACTATCAAAAAAAGAAGAATTATTTATTATTTATTTGTTTTTTTTTCTTTTTTTTTTATTATTAAAGCATCTTCATGCAGTATTACATAACAATGATGATAGAGAAACTGTAGCAACAATGGACTCAGAATTAGAACAATTTAATATAGCTTCATTGTCTAATGATGGTAGCATGGAAATAACAACTTCGGGTACGAATAAATTTTTTTATTATATTTAACGTAGAAAAGAAAAACTTAATGCGTCGAATGAATATCCTTATGCTTACAGGTCGTAGAGAAAGTGCGCGTGATAGTTAGAACTTGATAATTGCTATTAAAAAAAATGTCTTATCTATGACTTTTTCTTTTGTAATATGTGATGTCTAAGAGCAAAGAAAAACCATTGAAGCCTTTCAAATAATCTCAAATGGATAGAAATGTTTAATAAAACAAAATAATTTTCATAGAAAGCAAAAAATGTAAATTCGTCATTTATCTTTTATGAATGAATAAGTAATTAGAAAATATTTTACATACGAATAAGTCGAGTCTATGCTCTCATAATTCATTAGAATAACTTGATGTTCTCTTTTCAACAAAAAAATTCTTATGTTAATATATGACAACTTTATATATTGGTTCACTTACAAAAAAAATATTCTTATAAAATATGCGCCTAATTATTTGATTTAACTTATTACTTAATAAAAGCCTGTAGAAATTGACTGAACTATGTTTTAATATTGATCATGAAAATAATCTATTATTAGTTTTTCTTTTAATACTTGTTTTTTTTTTTGGATAGAATATGTCAATGAAGTTTATAGAAAGGAAATGTATGTTTATTTTCAGAAATCTTGATAGCTGTAAGCTCTAATGAGAATGTTTTATGACAGAGTGTGAATGCGAGAATAACTAGTCGTTTTGAAATTAGAAACTAATAGTAATTAATTATTAACTATTGACTTTCGGACACGAACTTTATCTATATGCATATGCTACACAATGGGTATGAAAATTATTCAAAAAAAAAGTTTATTAGTATTGATTTTTTTCTACTTTTCAATAAAGATATAAGGAATTAGAAATTATTATTAGATTCTTCAAAGAAAGAATCTCCAGAAAACCCAAAGTCTAATTTTATTAGCACTTAGAACATGTCAATACTAATTTTGTTTAGATTACATAGAATAATAGAGCAAAGAATTTTCTACACAATGAGACGTTTCTAAGTTCTCCATGGCCTTTTTTGATTAGCATAAGACAATTTAATTAAAGACTTATAAATTGTTTTCTATAGAAAATAATAAAAAAAAAAGACTTTAAGGACTTTCATAATATTGCTCCACCTCAGGTGAAAAATGTCATGGAGAACTCAGAGGCGCCTTATTTCGTAGAAAATTGTTTTTTCTATTATTCTATGCTATCAAAACAATATTATATTGATGCGCTCGAGGTGTAGAAAAACTAAGCTTTTAGTTCTCTGGAGTTCATATCTTTGGAGAATCTTATAATAATAATTATTTTCATATATTCTTGTTGAAAACAATTTCCTCTACTCATCATTATTTACATTCTTTCTAGTACTTAAAATAGCAGAACAAAAATGAAAATCAATTTTGTTGAATAATTTTAGTATCTACTGTATATAATTGATTAAAAAGGAAATCAGCTTGTATTCATAAAAATAATTGAATAAAAATCAGAGAAAAATCGAATAAACTCATATTTTATTTTATTTCAGTATTGAACAAAATTTTAATAAAATTTTTCATTTATAAGACATGTAAAACTCTTTCTTGTCGTACTACCCCTATCAATTTATTAATGAACGTTTTTTTTTTCAATTAATAAAACTTTGTTTAATTTTTTTTTATTTTAATAACAGATAACATTCCATTAACGATGTGTAAATCAATGCGTAAGTTTATTTTAATCTATTATTTTATTAAATAAAATATTTTCTATTCCATATAGAATCATCAAATTCTTGTTTTTGTTTACAATTCGATGGTAAAAAATTTCCTTTAACAGATTTTGAATGTCCTATATGTTGCAAGTAAGATATTTGATTTGATTAAACATAATAAAAATTTCTTGTTTTAGTTTACTATGGTTTCCAATAACAACACCATGTGGTCATGTATTTTGTCGTGAATGTGTAATTCGTTCTGTTGATAATACTCAAGCACAATGTCCTATATGTAAAAGCTCATTACAAAATGTAAGAAATCTTTTTTTTTTACGAAATTTTTGTTTATTTTAAATGATTATTTTTATTTTTGTTTCACAGTTTTTTCCAATGTTAATTCAATCACATGTAAATAAAACTGAAATTATTGCAAAAATAATCGAAAGTTATTTTCCAACTGAATTTAATGAACGACGACAATTATATGAACAAGAAAATATCCGAGGGTAAATTATTTTCTTAATATAAACAAACTTTTTTTTGTGTTTTAATTTAAATTAAAACAAATTTTTCTTTTTAGTGCTTCAATTCCACGAACATTAATAAATGATACAAATAATTCTGCATCAATTATTTTTGAAATTCCAATATTTGTGTGTGTTTTAGCATTACCTCATTGTGCATGTCCATTACATGTATTTGAACCACGTTATCGTTTAATGATGAGACGAACAATTGAAACTGAATCACGTACATTTGGAATGTGTACATATGATGAACAAACAGGGTAAGAGTGACAAACAAAGAAAACGTTCGATTGAAAAGAAAAATACATATATACATGTAAAATAGAGCATTTGCTGATTACGGTACATTATTATATATTCGTGGACTTGTTTATACACAAGATGGTCGTTCAATAGTTGATACAATTGGACAACGACGTTTTCGTGTTATTGAACGTGGAATGAGAGATGGATATAATACAGCTAGAGTTGAAGTTATACGAGATCATCCAATAGAACAACATGAATTTGATGGTTTGTTAAAATTTGAAAAATAAAACAACTAGAAATATGTCTATTTTTATATATTTATATTAGATTTATTTCAATTTAATCGAGATACTTTTAATCGTGCTCGCAATTGGTTTGATCATCTTGATCCATATAGAAAAACATTGATAATTCGTCAATTAGAAGGATATCCACCATGTGATGATTTAACAGAAGGATCAAGTAATAATCTTCATTTATTCATTTTATCATTCAAAAAAAAAGAATGCTCTTTTTTTTCAGAAAATTATTCAGTTTTTTGAGGATATGTAAGACGTAAAATGAATTACAATGTTTTATAGTTCGAGTGACTAATGAAAAAAGTCTCCCAATTGATAAATAGTTTTTGAGTCGAGACTACTTGCATCATAGAGACCCAAATAAGCTGTGAATATTCTGACAAAAGTTTGTACCTTTAGCTTATTGCGGCGAAGATAATTGACTTTTATGATATTTTCTAAATGAATGCTGTAGTCTTCTCAGAAATATCAGAAAAACCGATTTTCAAATATCGATTTGAGACGTTGAACACAGACAGATCTTAAGAAGAATAGGTTCTTGTCAAAGTTTCCAATCTTTTCGTTGCTTCTATTCTAAGATACAGCTATAGTGTAAAATCATGTCTTTTAGATCACTCATATACACTGGCAAATTCGATGGTCTTATTTCGAAGTAGAAGCAAATCAAAAGATTTGAAAATTTCACAATAAACTACTTTTGTTAAAGCCTATCACTGTTTAAAGTTTCGAGTTGAAATTCAAAAATCAGTTTTCCTAGTGTTCCTAAGGGTGACTATGGCATTCATTAAAAGAATATCATAGAAATATAGTATCTATGCAGCAATAAGCTCAGAGCAGAAACTCTTTTCAGGACATTCATAGCTCATTTTTCTAGCTATTTTATTAGTTTGAGAATAAATCTTCTATTCCAACGTCTCATTTTCCTAAACACTTAAAAATGACTGATTAAAATAAAGAAAGAATTACTTTAAGGAAAAATCTTTTAAGAACATCTATGACGTAGTTGAAAAGTTTTAATTTTAACAAAAAAAAAACATGTTAATTATATATATATATTATATATCTAGCTGATGGACCTAGTTGGGCTTGGATTATGTTAAATTTATTGCCGATTGAAGAACTTCTTCAATATACTGCACTTGCTTCTCAATCATTTCGCATTCGTATACAAATGATTAATGATGCTATTGATTTTCTACTGAATCAACAGCAACCACAACAACAGCAACAAACAACAGCTATATCAAATAATCAACAATAGACGTTAGACTTTATTTTAATTTGGATAACAGTGAATCCCCGGTGGTTTTGTTTTTCTCACAAAAAGAAAATAGCAAAGAAATATGTGGGTTTTTTTTTTGCTGCTTTCATTATATTTTTGTTATTCAATGTAGATAGTATGTATTTGTAATTCGATAAAGCATGCATATACAGAACAGAGAAATAAAAGATGAAGAAAATATTTTCACAATATTATTGTTATTAATTCTATAAGAAGAAGAAAAATAATTGATAATGTTCCTATAATAGAAAAATATGTTCGCCATTCAATAGATAAAAATGATGAAGAATGTATATGATGATGATGAATATGATATAATTCAGATGATTTTAATTGATTATCATTTGTTTGAGTTTCTTTATTAATTTTATCAATTAATGAATGAGATAATAATTCAATAGGAGATGTTTTATCTACTTTCGGATGATGAAATTCAAGTTGATTATTATGCATGGCTTGTTTAAGTAATTCAATTCGATGAGCAATTGATGATGAAATGGATGATAATGGTAAAGGTTTATTCTGTGGTGTTACTGATGATGTTTTTGTTTCATTGAAAATTGGACGTATCTTTGATTTACTATGTAAACGTCGTAGATGTTGTGTATGTTGTTGTGCATAGGATGAACGAATACTATGACTATTTGTAATGGTATTTCTTCGAGAAGCATATTGTAATCCAATACGATTTTCAATGGATGTCGATATAGGTAATGTTGTCGTAGAGTTGGATTTTTTATTATTAAATTGATTCTGATATTGTTGTTTATTCTAAAATACGAATAAAATGAATTATAAATTAATTTTGAATATTTCTTTTCCAAATAAGTGTTCTTATAATAAGATTCTATGATTCAATTGTACTGGAATTATTAAAATCTTAGTATAAGTATTTTTTTCTAATTAATTTCTACAATCTCTAAGATAAACTTATTATCATAAGAACACTATATAATCTGTATTTAACATAAGCGGATGATTTCTAATAATAGAAAAAAAATTGCATCTTTAAGATTCAAACTACCGGCTTATGTATAACCGTTTGCTAGGGAGTAGCGCTATGATTTCAAGTTAAATGCCTAATGAATTTTATACCAAATTAAAGACCGTCAAAAACTTGATTCATTAATACTAAATAGTAAGAATTATCAAAATATTTTAATGTCGACCTTACGAAATTTTTGAAAATTTTATGCTTGTTTTAGCATAGAAAATTAGGGCACCAGTAGTTTTTTATAGGGAAGAAAAACACTCGATTTTCTCAATAAAATTAGTTTTTTCATTATTTTCACTCATAAAGACGCTTCGAGATATACTCATTAGACGCAATTTTTCATGCTGCATCGGATGAGTATATTTCAAAGCGTCTTTGTAAGTAAAAATAATGAAAAAAGTTAATTTTACCGAAGAAATCGAGTATTTTTCTTCCATATAAAAAAACCGAGGTTCTAAAGATTTTTTAGGATTTTACAAGTCATTTTTTAGACTTTTTATCTCAGAAAAATGGCTCAAGAAACTTTTAATATATATAGTTTTGTAGAGCTCGATGGGCCCTATCAAACCATGTAAAAATACCAAAAGAAAATATTTTACTCTATATTTGAATTGCTAGTGCCCTAATTTTCTATGCTAAAAAAAGCATAAAATTTCCGAAAATTTTGTAAGTTCGACACTAAAGTATATTGATAGCTCTTACTATTTAGTACTAATGAATCCAGTTTTTGACGTTCTTTAATTTGGTATAAAATTCATTAGGTATTTACCTTGAAATCATAGCGCTACTCCCTAACAAAAGGTTATACACAACCCGGTACTTACAAAGAAACTACTTGAACTAGATATCCACCCTTTAAGATCATATTGAGCCGACAAGAATGTCTTAATGAGACTAGCAAAAGCCTACAAAAGTTTGTCCTCATGAGTCTTTGAAGACAGGTTATAATTGTTTTACTGAACATTCGATCCAATTTTAGGTATATACTGAAAAATAAAAGAAATATGATTTTGGCGTGAAATTTTGCTCATAAATAGGTTGAATGACTAGTAGAATATCTTGAAAGTGTCAGCCAAAAAGAATATTTCTTTATCGAGATATTGAATTTCCAAAAAAATAATCATTTGTCATAGACAGTTCATAGAAATACAAATTACTTCAAAATTCAATTTCTTAAGAAAGGAACATTTTTTCAACTGAAATTTTCAAGATGTTCTATAGATCATTAGACCAATCAATGGGCCAAATTTTAGGTCAAAATTCCTTTATTTGATTTTCCAGTAAATACTGAATCTATCAAGGAAAATGCTTACAATTTTGATCATAGATTTATTTTTTTTTGATTTGCATTAGAAAAGAAAATCAAAGATATCTTATTCTTTTTTTTCAAAACTCTCTTTGATGATAATAACACACTTTGATGGGATATTGAAGGATGGATACAAATAATAAAAGTTGATTTTTTATTATTGAATAATTCTTACTGAATTTTGTAATCGACAATTAGCTAAATTCGAACGATATTCTTTGACCGATGTTGATATAGATGGATTGTGTTGTGAAAATTTTGTTTGTTTTATTGATGATGATTCATGATGATATTGTTTTTGATCTATATATTTCTCTTGATGAATACAATGTTTATGATAAGCAGATAATTCAAAAGGAAATTTTTCATTTTTTGGTGATATTGAAAAATAAGGTTCAGTAAATGGTAAACGTTCGAAAGATTCAATTAAAGATGGCATAGATCTTGGTGATTCTTGTTCAGTAAGTGTTTGATTATCACTATTACTATTATTAGGATTTTTAACAACTGTTGATATGCTAGGATCATTATCATGTTCTATAGTTTCAGACAAATGAACATCTATTTTAGGTAATTCAATATGTTCTTTGATATTAGTTCTAATTGTATGTTCATTATGAATATCATTATTGATTAATTTTTTGAATATTCGACTCATTTTAAATCGAACACTAGCTGTATGTTTAATTGATTGATGACTTTTGGAAGATGTTAGTTCTGGTGGTAGAGTAGCTAATGCTGAATAATGAATAGCAGGTGCAGTAAATACCATTTTCTTTTTAATTACTGTTGTTTATGAATAGTAAGAATAAAAAATTCATGAAATCGTCTATGTTTTATATCAAAATGAAAATTTAGTCGGAAATGAATAAAACAAACATGATCGATTCCTATTTTAAAAAGCTTCGATCTATTATAAATTATACTGTGCGCGCCTACAAATTTTACCAGAAGTTTTATTCTTTTGTTTTGAAAGTTTTTCTTCTATATGATTCTATATCAAATTGATCGATTTCTCTAATGAAATTTTTGAATTTTATTATTGTTGTTTAATATCAAATCTTGTAACAGGTGAGCAATGAATAATGGTCGTCTTGGTATTTTGATTATAATATTTTTTTCTATTCAATATTTAGATCTGATTCTTTTTTGTAAAAGATCTAGCATTAAATTCTCTACAAAATATATATCGAATATTTTTCTGTAGAAAATTAAGGAGAAAAATTAATCGAAAAATACTCAACATCTATTTAATGGGGGTCTACTTTCTAAGTTGAAAAAACTTTTTGTCCAACTACTTTTACTCGTCAAAGTTATAGAAAAAGAAATTGAAATTCGTATTAATTTTCTCAGTGTCACCTGTTTTTGACAATTCAGATTTTTGAACTTTAAGTTTTCATAGTTTCTGAAAAACAACGCGTAACAAAGCCACAATAATATCGTTTAAACTCAGATTTCTTTAGTTTGATAAGAAATAATTATTGTACTAGATTTAGTAGCCATAATTTATTTAAAAGTATTTGTTTGATACAATTGATGAAAAATGACAAATTTTTGTTATTTTAAATTTGATGTTGAAAATTTAACTTTTTCAGATATTCACTTTGCTTCGAACGAACATGCTTTAGAGTACTCAAAAACATCTCTACTCTTGCTCTATGATCGCTAGAAAATTTGAAAATATTCTCAAGTTTATCAAATAAAACGGCATAGAAAAATCTGTCCATTCAATATATGTTGAATATGCTTCGGTTTAAATACACATATTGTAGAGAATTTAATGGTACATCTTTTAGAAAAAGAATCACCTCTAAATACTGAAAAGACAAAAGAATTTTATTCAAAAAACAAAGACGACCATGATTTATGGTTCGCCCATTATTTCATATCACAATATGAAAATATCAACAATAATAGATGACAAACTTCTTTGTAGATAGTACAATCATATATATTCTCATGAAAAAGTATTAATATTAATCTGATATTGATTCATTTAAAAATAAGTACAAAAAACAGATAGTGTAATTCATAAAAAAAGAAAATATATAGTGGCCGTAAAAAGTTATTCAACTAAGTGTAAGCTCGATTTTTTTATTCTTGCAGTAGATGCTATGAAGAATCAAAATACTAATTTAAATAGAAAAAACTGTTTTCAACAAAGTAAGAATGAAATTAAATTCTTGAGTATATTCCCAAAATCTATAGCTTCTAGAAAACTCAAGCGCTAAGTTTTCAGCACCCACACCCTAATAATAAAAGTTTATTTTGACAACAGAGAATGATAGAGCAGAATATTCTGAACAAATGAGATGCCTCTAAACTTTCAACATCAGAAAAATACAAAAACGTCTTTTGAGCCTCCTGTAAATATAATGTAACTTAGTCAAAAACTGTCGTTGAGACCTCGAGGATGCCTTATTTTGTTGAGAAGGTTCTGTTTTATTGTCCTCCGTTGTCAAAATAAACTTTTATGATCAGAGTATGGGTGCTGAAAACCTAGAATTTGAGAATACATCGAGAAATTGAATTTTCTCGTAACTTTGTTGAAAACAGTTTCCTCAATTCAAATGACTATTTATATTCTTCGTAAGACCTATCACAAGAGCCAAAAATCAAATTCACAGCTGATCGAATAATTTTAACGGTCATTGTCTAGTAAAATTTCTTATTGCCATTGAATTTGTTCAAAATGTTGAATAAATAATTGAAAAATCTGTCTAATTTTTTTCGATATTATTTTTCGATGTAAATCACCAAATAAAATCGTTGAAAAATAATCGAAAATAAAATTTTGTTCATATTCATTTGTACATCGTTTATTCATTTTAGATAAATGTTTAAAAAAAATAATAACTATTTCAAAATCTTTTTCATCTATTTTAAAATCCATATATGTTTGTTTATCTTCAATTGTTTTTATCATTGATAATGATGAATAATTAAAAATTTTTTTAAAAATAGCTCGAAATACTTGTATACAATCATATTGATTTTCAATAGAATATTTTTCATGATTTGATGTACGAATTTCATAGAATATTTTTGTAAGTAGAGTTTTTGTTGAATTATACATATATTTACAATTTAATAATTGAATATTATAAGGACATTTTATTGTTGATTCTTCAATAGATTTCATAAGAATATCTAAAGCTAATAAATATTGTCGATTAATATTATTTGGAAAGTTTTTAATTGAAGAAAATGATGAAATTGTTTTATTTTGAATTGAATCATTTGAATAGAAATTAAGATGATGATAATTTTCAATTAGTAATGATAAAATTTTTATCATAGAATAATCATTCATATTCGAAAACAGATTATGAAAAAGAAAAATTAATATTTCAGCTATTTTTGAAGGTTTAAGTATATTTAATGAAGAATGACAAATATGATTAAATGATGATAAAATTATATTGAATAGATCACCATAATTGATATTAATTATTGATAAAAACTAAAAATTATTAAAAAAATTTTTTTTTTTTTTGAAATGTTAGAAATCGTTTTGTTTTAGATACTTCATTTTCATTTAATTTTTGTTCAGTTTTACATTGATTAATAAAAACATTTTTTCTAATTAAATTTTCAATATAAATATGAAAAGCATCAATAATTATGATAATATCTTTATCTAAAGGAAGTTTTTCATTTTTTTCAATATTTTCAAATGTAATTTGTATTCGTTTTAAATGATATAATTCAATATCATCTTTATGATGAATACGTGTATTACTCAATTGAAATTTTTCAATATCGATTTTATTATTAAAATTTTCTAAATTTTTATTTATAAATAAAGGTAAACATTGTTCGAAATATGATAAATATCGATGAAGAATTTCATTTTCAGATGCATGAATAAAATCAATATGTGTTAAAGTTGTTCTTTTTTCTTCTTGTTTATCATCATATTTATCATTGAAACTTATATGACGATTTGTTTCTGTTGAAAATATTGAATTATGTTTAGATGAATTCAATAATAAATGATGATTATTATTTACATCGATAATCGTTTCGATAGAAATCGAATTTATCATGTGTATTGAAAATACACACCTTGATGTTTTTTCGATTAGAAATAATAAATTTATTCAACTTGACAACATCAAAATAATCTAGTTTTTAATTTTGTCATAGCAATAAAAAAAAAACAAAGTTGAACTAAATGTTTATTAAATAAATATTAAAATTCATGTTTGCCTATTATAAGAATAAGTTTTAAAACACCTTCGTTTAATAAATCATGGGTGAGCGATGATAAGTTTTGAGACAAAATGTTTGCTTATTTTTGGATTCGTCAGAGAGAGTACATCCAATGAATGAAAAGTTGTGGATTAGAACTACAATTTTTATATTCTTTCTGAATATGAGCTTAGAAAATGTGTTTCAGTTTTTGTTCGAAACTAGTAAGATTATCTTTGAAAGGCAGAAAAAACAAATTAGTTTGCACGGAACGTATAAGCCGAAATTTCTGGTGCAAATGTTTGCTCATTATGAGTAATGTTGTGTCTATTTTTGTTCGAGAATACTGAAGGAATTTTCAAAAGGCCCCAAAAATTAGATTAAACGGTGAACCAATAAGTTTTTACTAATCATTGTAAGTCCCTTTTCGAAGGTGCTAAAAATGATCATAGCCAATCTTTTTGTCGAGCAGATTCTTCTTTATGAAATGTTATATTGAACAGAGCTATATCTTTTATCCAAATGAAGCAATAGGCACTTTGTCAACGGTTTTTTGTCAAAAGATCGATTTTTAAAAAAAATGAGGGTTTACGAAAAACGAAAAATTGAAGTGCCTTGTCGAAAGACAAAAAACCCTCAAATAGTACATTTTGTAGGATAGCTTCGGGTCGGTAAACTCATATGTTAGTAAAGGATTGAAATTTTACTGTTGAGTGACAATAACAAAACTACAAAAGCATTTGAAAAATTCCTCCGTCCAAACTATTTTTTTTGGTCCTTTCAAAGACTATCTCACTAATCTCGAACGGAAACTGAGACAACTTTTCAAAGCCCATATTCTAAAAGAGTACACAATTCCTGTCTTAATCCATATAACTTTTGACACATCGAAAACATTTTCAAGAGAGCTAAAACTAAACAAATCGTTTGCCACCAAACTTTCGGATTGCCCATGAATATTAGATTATTTTCTATTGTCAGGTTTTTTATTAAAATTCCAACCAGAATTTTTTGAATAACTTCCAATCGTGTATAGCTATTGAAGTTGGGTTTTTCACCATTAGCTAGAGCAACGCTGGAGATATTCAACTATGAGACATTCATTGTATTTGAAGAACTTCTTCATGAATATTTGCAGGTGAACATCTTTTCTGTTGCCAATTACTACAACTTTTCGTAGCAACCTAGGCTCATACTACACCAAAATGCAGCCCAAACAGAGTCCTATTTTCCATAAAATTCTCAGATTTCAGAATACTTCTCCTGAAGCATGAATCCAGAGTAAGGATAAAAAAAAACGAACAATTATATATGGAATATAGCAATCTTCCAGCTACACTTTGATGTAATTTGGGCTTGGTCACTACGAAAAGTTGTAGAAATGAACGATGAAAAAAATATCCACATACAAGTATCCATGAAGGACTTCTTCGAACCTAATGAATGTTTCATAGATAAACATCTTCAACGTTCCTGTATGTAATGACGAAAACTCGACTTCGATAGTTATAAATGATCGAAAGTTATTCACAAATGGTGGTTGGCATTTTAATAAAAATCCGATAATAGTTATTGGTTCTCCCTACACTATATTTATGTAAAATATGTTCAGCTTTTACAAATATTTAAAAAAATCATGTTGGTGGACTTTGAGACATTTATCATAACATTTCCATAGATATATTTTTATTACTACAAGAGAAGATATCATCCAATAGTATGCCATTTGAAAGATCGACACGAATACTCAAACTTCATATAAAAAATATACGGTTTGAGATTATTTTTTTTGTTTATGTTGATGTGTTAAACATAAAACTTGTACAAAGCTCTGCGTTCAACGTAAATGGAGATCACAATATGCATTTTCTGTATATTAGTTTCTTTTTTAGCATTTTAATTTATTGTAGGTGTGATCTGATGGATGTGGTACTGAACTAAACTGCGATGTTGTGGTAATCATATTAAATAGAGCAATGGCACATGATAATGAATTCATGCGAAGTAAAAGCTGCTAAGCTTCAATAGTTTGAACTAAACCTTCACTAAACATAATACTAATAGTAATCCACAGTTCTTCAATACGCAAAACATTAACGTGAATAAACTTATGGTTTAAAAGAGACATCACAATCTAAAAAATCAACAAATAGCTGCATCCCTCAAACAAATAAACACATCTTTAGTCTCCACCATTTCATACATAATTTATCCTCTCCCCATTGAATCTACCAAATCAAGATAATTCTCCATCTTCAAAGGATAAATACACCATAATCTATTGCAATTGTTTACTATGTGCATTCTTGTGCTTTTTAGTTACGTTAGCCTTTTAAACTGCTTATATGGTAACAACTGGATTATATACAATTAAGCATTAAATGATTATAGGCAGACTGTTGTTACTTTTGAAATAAAATTATTTTATGAATCATCAAATTCTCATTAGAATTTGAAAATGAACCTCAATTGTAAGCAATATTCTATATTGACAGTAACATGTCCAATACTCATCTTTCATATACTTTGTCTTCGATAAAACAGAATTCTAATGTTCAATATCCATCTTCCATATATGTTGTCACAAATAGAATTCTCTTAAAATTCTATAAATGTTTTTAAATTCTAAGCAGTTTCATAACCATAACTCGAACTGAAGGGATGATGTATAGCAAACAGGCTCTGAAAGGCATGGCGTTTCAGCACTGAATACAATGGAACGGTCAGTATGCTCTTCGTCGCAAGCCACATCGTCGAAACGCAGATCGGCGAACGTCGACGAACTGCATTTCGGCAATGTGACTATCGACTATCCGTATTTTCGGCAGTGTCACTGCCGACGATATGGCCATCGGCAATTTTTATACCAATGATCGAATCGACCAGTTAACAACTAACTTAAGTGAGTGATACGATAAGTTATAAATCAAGTTAGGAACTAAGTTGACCATGTCGGCTACTAGCTTTACTTAGGAACCACGTTAAATTAGTCACTAATTTGATTCAGTGCTAACTCTAATAAGCTACTAGATGATCGAAATGAATTCGGCGATCTGCATTTCGATGAACTTTGTATCGACAATCTGTGTTTCGGTGATGTTGATTTCGGCGATCTTTCTTTTTGATAATGTTTGTTTCGGTGCGAGTTTCGGCGATAAGGCATACAACCATTCGACCAATCGCTGTTGGCTAGATGACAGGGCGCATTGTCAAGAAAAATGATAAACTTACGATTGGTCTTCTTCGTTTAAACATTTATATTTGCAAGCTAATCTCTGAAGAAGATGCAACTCATCCAGGCAGTGTGATTTGCGAGATTAGTGCCTAATAGTTTAGATACTACAATGTTTTTGAAGCATCGAGGACGCAGGCTTTTGCCTGGAAGCAAACAGAAGTCACGTGAGATACACAATCAGTCGGCGAGTCTCCTTACCAATTACAACTGGCTTCAGTTTTCCAGTTTCAGTCCAATTCGAGCACAAAAGAATGAAGAATCGTTCTTTACTTTTTTCCTCCTTTCCAATGCTCTTTTGATAGTACCAACAATCGATTTGGTGTTGCATGGTAGAATAATCCTGTTTCGTCTGCATTAAATACGTCTTTCTCATTGTATCAATCTAATAGTGTTGATAATCTTTTTATCCATTCTTCTGTGGTAGAACTAAGGAGGGGGGGGGGGGGGGGGAGGGGGAAGCGAAACTTCATTACATGAAGTACGGTGAAGTACGACTGAAGTACAAGTGAAGTATGACTGAAGTACGGTCCTTTACCATACTTCATCATACTTCACCTGTACTTCACCTGTACTTCACCTGTACTTCACTTGTACTTCACTCTTACGTCACTCATACTTCACTCGTACTTCAGAAGTACTAGAATTGTTACTTTTTCCTCCATGGGTAGAACTATCGGCAGAGACGCTTTCACCAGAAATCATTCGAAAAAGAGATAGGGTAGCGAATACGAAACCTCTCCAATCAACCATTTGAGGCTTTAAATACACCTGATAGATGTTCCAACTCTTCGGCAAATTGTCTTGTTTTCTCTTGTAGCATAGACCCTGACATAGCAACCCGTTTAGATCGTTGAATAGTAAACCATTCGAATACGAATTGATCGATAGTTAATCCACTTTCGTCGTTATGCTTTCGTTCTATGCCTTTATTCGAGTTGGAAGCATAATCAACAAAGAATGCTTCTCGACGATGTAGAATGTTGGCCACACTACTTTTTGATATGTCGCATTTGTCGGCCAGCATTCATATTGATAAACCATAACTATTTTGATTGCCTTTGATTAATGCAATTTTTTCTTCTGGAGTTAATGCTTGTCGATTCGACATAACATTCTCTTTCTCTTAATAATAGTAGAAAAATGACACAAATGTTACAATGTGACTATATTTATACCTGTCTCGCTTAATCAAGACAAAGGACGTATTTTTTCTTTCCCACTTGTATGTGGTTTTTTTTCATTTTGCCGTCCGATTAATAAAGAATAGTCATTGTGTTGAATGAGTAATGATAGTCATCGCGACATACTCTTTAAATTCATAATCAGTGCCAACTATAGAGAGGTTGTTTATGAAAAGAAGATAGTGAAAGTGTCCACTATGGAATGTTTTAGTGTAATAACAATTTAAATAATAAAAGATATCTATATTTTTTAGATTATTTTCTGATGGAAGTCAAAGACATTCAACATGAAGGATAAAATCAAAACGAATACAATTATTAATTGCAGTGAAGCATATATTTCATCATCAATATGCATTTTATGCATCATTCTTTATATTTTGGCTATTGATTCTTCACTTTTTAACATGATTTAAGTTTTTTTTATATGACAGAGATCACTTTATGTTTTATTTCATACAAAAAAATAGTTCATATATATTTTTTAAAACAACCAAACTAATTAGTTTCAAAAATTATTTTTATCTCATTTTCAAGGTATTCGTGCTTTGCTCAAAAGCACTAGATAATACACGAATATAGTATCAGAAAAAAAACCGCTTATCTAATGTCTATTTGTTCTATCACAATGCATTCCATTTGTGTTCACTTGTGAATCGCTATTGTTCTCTTTCCAATCAGCGACGTTGTCATTCTTTAATTTTTAATTGGTATCCATAGTGAAAACAGCAGAAGAAAGAATAGTTTAAAAGAATTAACACATCAATTTTATGACACTCTACAATAATAGCTCTGCGGTGATAATATATTAGACTTGATTTTTCTTTCAATTTCCAGTATAATTTGACACGCTCAATAATCTTATATATACTTCGTTCTTCCTTAAAAAATTGTATATAAATACTTCGATAAAAGTCCATTTCATTCATTCCATTCATTCATACTCTTCTGATTCTATGGATTTATTAGCTTTTGTGGCGTACAATCTTGCTAGTTTCTTTTTAATTTGTTAAGTTATCTTTGTCATTTCGTGTCGTTAGAAGTTATTACAACATGTGCATAAATAGGCAATGCAATCATCATATGACTAATTGTCTGTTACCAATCATTATTTCATCTCATTAACATACTATTGAATATTTGCACAAACGTTCACCTTCTTTCAATTAATAACTTGTCGATTGATCAAGTTTGGTATTATTACGAAGTAAATGATATTTCTGGAGTGACAGTGACTCCAGCAGTCACTCACTATGTATGTTCAATTTTATCAATGGAGCAAGTAGAAAAATTGAGTTTATGCTTTGATTATCAGGAGTTGTTTCGTAGTTAACTTGAGCAAGACGAAACTTCTAGTCAATCATCATCATCATAGTAGTAAACTCTGTATACCATTAATTGTTGGTGTTGTTGCCAGTGTTCTCCATCTCCTTTTTATTGGAAGTGTAATTGAGTAATCGAATGTCCGAAATTCAGAGATCTATTTCTGATACTAATACAAAGAGTACAGTTGAATCAGCGCACTCCTTCAATAAAGCTCAAGAAAATATGAACATTATTATTAAAAATTTGTCTCGACTAAATTCTTCTGCCGAGGTACAAACGCGCTATAATTTAGAGACTCATGCAAAGTATGTATACGAAAGAGTGAAGAATTTCATGTATCACATCGAGCACAACAGTCTTAACCTAGATTTTATCAGAATGGCAGAACAGAATGAAATTGTAGAAATTGCTTACGAGCGTCTCGAACATTTTGTACCCAATGCTTATGAATCAAAAGCTATATTTATATGGTGCATACTTTTTGCGCAGACCGTTCAGTCATTTTCCACCAGAAAATAGACTACATACAAACGATACTATAGGTTACTATCCAGAATATCTAGATCATATTGTTTTCACATCTTCTTTTTCAATTCTGAAAACTAATGCATATGATAAGATACAAGTTTATAAACTTACCGCCTTGCTATTTTGTATCGTTAAAGAAGAAATGGGAAAAGCAATTTTTCAATGCCAAATATGATAGGCATATTCATTGGTTGATATATTGAATGGTACGAGGTTGTAGACTGGACAATTTGTTGAAACCTATCCATCGTTCAGAAACGCATTAAGAATATGTGTCTGGAACAAATAATCGTTCGTTCCATTATCAGATTAAGAACTATCTTTATAGCTTTCCACATTGTGAGAAAATAGGTTCTGATGCAATGGCATTTTTGACAACAACATCTGTAATTTGTACCCTAACTGAAGGTTTCTATGTTTTCAAAGACTTGACTATGATACACATAGCGTATAATAATAGCTTTTACTGTGCGGATAGCATAAATTTTATTGAAGATAGGTGATATCATCCTTTGAAGCCATATGTTATTAAAAACGACAAATGAAAACATTGTTCCAGTAATCAAATCAATTCCTTCATTAAATATTAGCCTTCCTATAGTATATCTATTTGCATCTGATAAATACTTGATACTTATGTTAGAAGAGCAGATGAGAATTCAAGAGAAAAATAGAAAAAATTGATAACAGTCTATCAAAACAAGGTAATATAAGTGCAACAAAACCTACTATGGTATAAAATCATAAGATTAAGTTTTTTTAATATCCATCGATTTTCTATAATCTCAGAATTTAATATAAATGTTATAGAAAATACATTTGATTTTTTTACAAGGAATGTAAATGTCTGCCATCTAGCGTGTATGCGTGTGTATGTTTTTATACAACGATTCATTGATCAATGTTCATCCAATAGTAGAACTAATTATCTTTCTATTCTATTTTTGTTTTATTTTTCTCCTTATAGTGGTGGTTATTGTTTTTTTTCTCTTCTTTTGTGTCAAGTCATTTTCTTTTGATAGATCAAGATCTAACCGTTATCAAGGTATGTATTTAATCTACGGCAACAAATTGTTGCATTCATTGAACAAAAAACAAAGTAAACAATTATAAACTATGGTATTTTTTGTTTTCCTTCAAAAATAAAATATAACAAAAATTATTCGAGAAAAATAACATATTCTTACTTACATATTGAAAATTCGATATCGGTTTATAATTTTTTTTTTTAAGATTTTTTTTATCTGAATGCAGGGAGAAAGAGACGGGCAAACATTATTGTCACCGCCTCCATCCATGCTAACCGATGAGACGACTAAAAATGATAATAATTCAACAACATCATCATCACATAATTCATCAACTGAATTAGCTTATCTTCCTATTGGTTGTTCAGTTAGTGCCAAATATCGAGGAGCATTTTGTTCAGGTAAATTTTTATATTGATAGTAAAAAAAAGAAAAGCTTAATCTTTTGCTGTTATTTTTTCAAGCACAAGTCAAAGCAATTGAAAAACAAGTTAAATTAAAAGTAACATTAGTTGATAGTGGTGATACAATAACAATATCTGAAGAACAAATTGTACATTCAGTTCCTTTACGTATTGGTAATACTGTAACAATACGTTTAACATCATCAAATCGTCGTCAATCAAATGATTCCAATTCTAATCATCATTATTCTCGTAGTGGTTTAGCTGCATTTATAAATCAAACAAATCCAGATGAGAAACAAGCAACTATTAAACAAATTATTGATAATAGTATTTATACAGTTGTATTTAATGATGGTGATGAAAAGTCTTTAAGACGTTCATCATTATGTTTACAAGGTATTCGCTTATATCAAACACAATATGGACAACAAAAAATTTTAGAAGAAATTCCAACATCAACATCACCACCACCTTCAATACCTCCACCATCATCGTCATTAGTTACATCAACTGATACAACAAATACAAATGCTAATGATATAACATCAATTGTTGCTGTTAAGCGACATGGAAATTCTGATCAACAAGCTTTTCCAGCATTGGTACTTAAACGTAAAGCATTAGCTGATTATATGTGGGTTCGAAGTTTTGTTGATGGAAGAGAATATATTGTTCATACACGTGATGATGTACAACCTTATCATAATAATCCAGATATTCAAGCTTTATGTCGTTCAACATCAAAACAGGCAACACAAGCTTGTGAAAAATTTATTAAATATAATCAAATACCAGCTGTATGGCATAAGGGAAAAAAGAAACAATATAAATCTGATGATAAAAATGCACAAAGTGATGTTGAGAGTACAAGTGAAAGTGATTCAAGTTCGAGTGAATCCGAAGATGATGATGAAATTGATGAAGAAACTACAGAAGAAAAAGATTCATTTGTTGCACAATTATTTGCTTTTATGGATGATAGAGGTAAATTGAAAGGATTTAGTTTTTGAAAACTGAAAAAATATATCGAATGCTTTAGTAGAGTCTATTTAATTTTGAGTCTTCATTATTTAGAGTCACTTTCTAGGAAAAAAATAAATATCTCAATGATAACATATTTGATATAATGCTATGATGAATAGACAATTAAATTGACTATCTTCATTTGTCAACAAATTAAATTTTTTTTGATAAAATCTTTTCATCGATCTATCTGAGGGAACTTAAAATCACTTCAAGCTATATATTATTTCGATTGCATCATTTTAATTGATAAAATCTATTCACATAAAATAGTTGATCAATAGTAATTATTATAAAATATCTGGTTTTGGTTTCAAACGATTGATTTCATCTTTTTATAAATTTTTTCTTTTCTAGGCACACCAATAAACAATATACCTAAAGTACAAAACTATGACCTTGATCTTCATCGTTTATTCAAAATTGTTCGTATGTTAGGTGGTTATAACAAGGTTGGACATAACTTTCTTTTTTTTTAATAATCTAAAATTATTTTCAAAAAAAAAAACTTCTAAATAGGTTACAAAAAATGATCAATGGAGTAAAGTTCATATAAAAATGGGTTTACCAGATGAAATTTCTTCTGAGAATGGTCGATCAATTGAACATGCATATAAAAAGTAAAATAAAATATTTTCTAAAAACAAAAAAAAAAAGAAAATATTTTCTATTTAATTTTTCTTTAGATATTTATTTGCTTATGAAGATTTATCAAAAAAATTAGGTTCAATGAATGCACCAAGTGCATATTTTGGTGGTCGTACAAGTCTAGGTAGTGAGTCACGACGAAGTTTAATACGTGTACGACAACAACAACAAGAAGAAGAAAAAAATCAAAAGAAAACTACAAAATCTAAACCGTCACCTGCATCTGTCAAACAAAGAGTATTCTTTTTTTCGAAATAAATTTCTTCAAATTTCTTTTTTTTTTTTCTAGTCTCGTAAAAGTAGTGAATCTCGACCATCTACTGATTCTAAACAAACATCATCATCATCTACGAAAAAATCAACATCGAAATCATCTACAACATCAGCTCGAAAAGGACCCAATAAAATAAAACCGGCAAATATTCTTTCATCTAGTACATCTGAATCTGAAAGTGAATCTGAAAGTGAAACATCTGATGATGAATCAAATCATTCATCATCATCAGTGTATAATAAAACTAAAACAAAGCCTATTTCTTCGACAACACAAAAAAAACCAGTAATATCATCATCAGGAATTCCAAAAAAAATTAATCAAGTATCATCATCATCAAATACAACAACAACTAAAACTGAGGTTAAAAAAATTTCAACAACTACTAAACCAATAATATCATCAACAAATGATAATAAACAATCAAAATTAACTATAACAATACCAATTACAAAATCTAAAACAACTCAATCAACTAATTCAACAACTGCTTCATCAATTAAAAAAACTAATTTGACTTCTTCAACTAAAGATGAAAAGAAAAAACCTTCCGAAATAAAATCAATTCCAATAAAAACTGAATCAAAAATAATATCATCATCAATAACTAAAAAAACTCTTATATCAACTTCAAAAACTTCACAAATAACAAAAACAAATCAACAACAAAAACAATCATCAAATGAATCTGTTAAATCAACAACAGTTAATAAAACACCATCATCTATATTACCATTCAAACCTAAAACAACTCAATCACATACATCAACAAACAATAATAATAATAATAATAAAGAAAAATCAGGAATTTCAAAACCTACACCATCATCATCTATGGAATCCCGACAAATAAAACCAACGAAAATAAATTCTTCATCAATAAAAACAAATACACAAGAACGATCATCATCAGCACCTGTTAAAAAAACAAAACCAATACCTCATGAAGAAAATCTTACAAAACCTATTTCATCTACATCATCTATGAAAATTCCGAAAATATCTTCAAATAATGATTCAACGTAATTTAAAAAATTCAAAAAACAAAATTCTTTTTTTTTATATATATTATTCAATTTTCTTTTTTTTCGTCGAATTGTTTTAGAAAAAAATCAACAACATCAATTGATAAAATTCCTAAAAAACAATTGTCAAAAGAAACTACAGCTAAAATATCGAAAACACAAGATAATACATCATCAAATAAACGTATGTAGATTAATTCTTATTCTTTCGTCTTCTCTTGTCCTCAAATTTAAATAGTCAATCATTTATTGTAAATAATATGATGACATACATAATTTGTTTATTGCTTTCGGTACATTTTTTTTCAGAATAGAAGACCAATTTTGAAGAAACGATGTGAATTTCCATAATACAAAATTCATAGCCTATAATTGTAGGGAGAGGATTTGTTTAGTTCTGGTTCCGGCTCAGAGAAAACAAATTCAGAATTTGTTTGCATTAAATCTAAACAAAAATGTCTTGAATATTAATGCCTTAATTGATGTCAGTTATAATCATATGAGACTAAAACAGGTTCTGCACATCTCTAACATCGAGAGAAAATACTATGAGAATATCTATCTGCCAATTAACATTCATGCTATTCTTCTAATAATCTTTTCTTGAAAATTGAAAATATTTTTTTCTCTACAAAGAAAATATTTCTACGTTGAATATTGTTTAGCAAATAATGATCAACAAACAAAAGCTCATACACCATCTCCAACTCGTCCAACATTGCCTGAATCAATAAAAAAACCTATTCTACGTGACCTATCTCCATTACCAGTAACACCAGTATCATCATCACCACCACCACCACCTGCACTACCGCTTTCAACTTCAATATCTACAATTAGCGATGAACCTATTACACCCACGATTTTATCAATTCCATTTAGTACTATACAAAATGTTAGTTCTTCAAATGAAACAACACCCGGTAAAATCATACAACTAAATTTAATAAGTTTCTCCAATAAATTTTCTTTAGAAGTTAAATTAACTGAAACACCTTTAATATTTCAATCTACATCGGTTACAACAAAAGAATTAAATGAAAATGAAATTTTTCCATTAAATTCAAATAAACGTCCACACTCTGATGAAAATACTGAATCAATTTTTATATCATCAACTATATCGGAAATCGAAGAACAATTATCTCCATCAAAACGAGTTAGACGTTCAATATCATCTCAAGAAAGTATTGAAACATTTAGGTAAAAGTTCTCTATAAAAAAAGTAAATATAAAAAATTCATTCATATTTCTTTTTTTCGCAGTAGTACTGATCAACCATCATCAATTGATTATATATCTGCTAATCGTAATACTCAATTAACATATGAAGATATTTCTATAAATGATATATTACTTGTAACATGGGGTAATCAAGGAACAAAACAATATCCAGCAAGATGTATTGAAAAAAATGATGAAAAAAAAGAATTATTAGTTCATTATACAGGATGGAATTCTCGGTAAAAATAATTTTTTTTTCTTTTAGAATTAAATTAAATAATAAAAAACAAATAAATTTTATTCTAGTCATGATGAATGGATAAAATTAGATCGTGTAATTGAACGTAAAGATTTAACAAATGCTAATACATTATTTCAACAACGTCCACGTCGTACAAGTCAAATAAATACAGTACGACAACATCTTGATTCAACAAATTCTATAAATTCAATTGAACAAAATAATCCACAACAAATAACAAATTCATTAATTGTTGATATTAGTTCATCATCAACAATAATTGATGATGATGAACAAAATAAAATTTCTAAAACAATTACAATTGAAACACATAAAATTGAAGAATCTGATATTGATGATAATAGTCAAGGACAAAGTGAAAGTAATTATTTTTTATTTGTTTTGTTTTTTGAAGAAAACAAAAATCATTCAATTGATTTATTTTAATCCTAGTTTGGAATCATGTAGAAACAATATCATCGACAGAAGATGATACTCTTTCATATTCATCAACTACACGTATAAATCAATCAGATATAAATCGATTACCTATTGAAGAAACAACAAATATTCGACGAAGTCTATCAGCTACTAATAATGAAAATATTCTCTCTGCTCAGAGTGAATTTGAATCAATTGATGAAAATGATAATGAAAATGAATCAACACGAGATGATGATCATATTCAATCGATAATTCCAAAACGAAGACAATCAAGAGCAACATCATCAAATACTAAAGTAAGATTCAACTTTAAAAAAATATTATTTTCATTAAATCGAATAATATTATTTTATAGATTTTAATAGAGAAATTTTATTTACTTGAAAAACTATATATTATCTTTCAATTTTTACATTTAGTTAAACAGAATATTCGTATACTAAGAACACTTCATAAAAAATAGTTTTCTAAAGAAAAAAAAAAGAACATTAGTAAATCTATAGAAAATTAATTAAACGAATCAAATTATATCTAAGAACAAACAAAATTTGATTTGTTCTTTTTCTTTTCAGATTGATTCAACATTAAATATAAAAACTGAACAAATTGAAGAAACTCCTCCATCAATATCCGAAATGTAAATTTTCTCTATAATCTTATTTAATAATTATCTTTATTTTCTTCAGTCTTGAACATCCACATCAATATCCACTACATGTCAAAGAAGAAACTATTGATAGTTCATCAATATGTCAACAATCATTTCAAACGCCGTTATTACCACCACTACCATCATCTCTTGTAATTGAACCAATTCTTCCTTCAACAAATATATTAACATCACCTCCAGCACCAGCTACTAGTAATCGTCGTGCTTCTGTACGTCAACAAAAACGACGTTCATTACGTGAACCAAATAATGTTAAAGATTCATCTCTATCAGCAAAGAAAAAAACGAAATTAGATATTGGAAATATTATTAATACAGATATTAGTACAGATTATATAACAAATGTTGATCAGACATCAACAAGATCAAATTCAACTGAACAACAATTTCCAGAAAGTACAACAAGTAAATGACATTGTTGTTGTTTTTTTTTTAGTTTTTATTTTATTTTTGATTTTCTAGCAAAACGTTGTCGACCGCCAGGAAGACGAGGTGGAAAAAAATCTATTAATCAACAAGGTTAATTTAATAATATTCTTAATTTAAATAAATTAATAAATTAATATTTTATTTAGAATATGAAAATGAAGATTATCGTTCAAGTTCACCATCAAATATAACAATGCGTCAACAATTAAAAGATATGTTTAAACATCGACCAAGTCGTTATAATTTTCTTGATCTTAGTAATATAAATATTAAATTCATATGAATTTTTTTTTTCTTAAAAATAAAATTATATTTATACTTAATTATTTAGATAATAATTTAACTGGTGATGAACGTATAACTCATTTAAAAGATCGTATGCGTGAATGTCAAAAAGTATTTTTTAATCTCAAAAGTGCATTAGTTAAAATTGAAAAACAACGTAAAATATTTCTTCGAAAACAAAAACCAATTTTAACTACAACAACAGCAAGTATGTATATAAAAACAAAAATAAAAACAAATTATTTTACAATAAAATCGAATTATTTCTATTTTTATTTAGTTATTCAAGCAACAACTACAGAAATTTTGGGAACAACAACATGTACATAAATTTAAAATAACAAAAAAATTATTTCAACAATAAAATACAATAAATATGTTCGCTTTTTCTCGATATAGATATATATATATATATAGTGTTTATTGTTGTTGATGTTTTGTGTATTCATTTTCTTTTTTTTTTTCTATTTGTTTCCACAAACATGCTACAGTGCATCATTTATCATGAGTGTATTCATAATGTATATTTGTATTCTCATTTGCTTGCTTGTTTTTTCTTTCTCGAATAAACAACAAGAAAAAATATTTAATTAACTATTAAACTATTAATTCTAATAAATTGATATCAATTAGAGAATATCTATGAAAATTATATTGTAAAATTTTGTGCCTTTTAGTTTGAAAAGCAAATTTTTTCATATATTTTTGGTACATTTCACTATTAGGATTCGAAACTAAACGTGGAAATTCTTGTTCATATATCGACTTGTTGAACACTATCTGCTCTACAAAATGTACTATTTGAGTGTTTTTTTGTCTTCCGAAAAACATCTCAACTGTTATTTTCCTATCATCCTCCATTTTGAAAAATCGATCTTTTTCTTGACAAAAGAGTGTTTTATCTGAAAAGTGACTTCAACTTGGATCAAAAATTGACAGTTCAGCTCAATGTTATATTTTGTAAACAAATGTTTGTTCCACAAAATCACCGTGTTCAATAGTTTTTAACACCTTCACAAAAGAATCTATAGGATTAGCAAAAATCTATTTGTTTGTTATTTCAATCAATCTTGAATGATTCTTCCACTACTTACAAACAAAAATAAGCGCAATAGGTCTGACTCTATCTTCGAAATGAGCACAAAATTCTCGTCCTAATTTATAGTGTTTCATTCGTCTAGAATACTTTCAAAGGGATCAATAATGAACAAACTTTTTGTCAAGAAATTTTCGCACCATCCATTATATTCAATAATAAGTTCTTTGAGAATAAACTGGATTCAAAGAAAAAAATTTAACAAATGAATATTTGAAAAACAAAAAGATTTTTCTATTCTTAAAATGTACTATTAAATAAGTTATAATAAGAAAATTTTGGTAGATGTTTTTTCTTTCATAAGAGAAGATTTATCAAATACTGTAAAATCTATCTATTGTTTTGAATACAATCAAGACATAAAGTATGACACTGTACTTCATAATGAACCGATACTTTTTTTTCACAGATGTAACTAGAACACAATCAACACCTGCTATATAAGAGAAATTTCGTATCAACATAAATTCTGTTGAACATACGACCGAATAGCATGAATTCATATAACATTAAAGAAAATTTTCGTTTTAAATTTAACAAAAATTCTAAACTTTCATTGATCATCGATATCAAAACAAAAATATTAGTATATAATGAATTCTGAAATATTATTCGATAATCATATGCTTAGTATGTCACAATATTCCGTGGTAAAATGAAAAAAACTTTACATTAACGGTTGAGTCTAACATAGGTAACACCGTGGTAAATTCATTGTACTAATACCAATGATTATTACGATCAAAAGTTTAACAAAGCTCTTGATTTCTTGAAAGATTTATCTCTTGTTTGTCTATTGAAAGTAACTATAAAGTGTTCTAGTGATTTATTTATGAAAATTTTGGATACATTTTCAAATAGATGATTTACAGAAGGTGAATTTTTCAAATTTGATTATGGCTGACAGATTAGAATAACGAGGGATAAAATATGTGCTAGTGGAAAACAAATGAATGAATTACTGGAACACTTGATAGTTACTTTTGATAAACAAACAAGAAGCAATTCTTTCAAAAAATCAAGAGCTCTATTCAACTTTTTGATCTTAATAATCCATTATATCAGTAAAATAAATGTACACAGTATTCTCTATGTTAGATTCAACTGTTGTGTTTTTGTGTTACTTCCAAATCATGTACTTTTCTTCGTTATTTTTAGATAGACAGTCAATGTAATATAAAGAGAATATATAAAATGACATTATTTTCATCTGTTATGAATTCGTAAATACATCATTAATAATCAATATAATCATCATTATTATGATTTTTTTCATATGATGAAGAGTATTTACTCACTCATACAACTCACTTTTCGTTATGTCATAAAATCAAAACTTTATGAAATTATAAGAATTATCAGAGTGTGATACAAAAAAATTTGGTCTAAACTTATAACGATGTATATCACTAAATACCATATTCGATCGGCTGCCTCTTTTCATTTAAAGCTTATATAATAGAGAGAAATCGATGTTGTCTTTTTTAAACAACACTTTATTAATATAAGAGAAATTGAATAAAAAAAATTTTATTCACGAAAGTTACTCTCGATCTTCGAAGGAATAATATCATTTATTGTCGATGTTTTTTGAATAGTTGTTAGTTGTGGTGTATAAGTAAAAATTAATGATGTTAAATAAATAACACCATCACGACGTACAAATAAAATTGGTGTTGATATAGATCGTTGAATCCATGGCATATTCGACATTATAGATGAAAATTGTGGAACTTCAACAATCATTGTTTCACTTGATCTAAATAAATACAAAAAGAAATCCACAATGAAATGAATCAACAACAATCAAATAATAATTAATTCAAATAAAATAATACCGATATTCTGTACATGGTGATTCAGTTTCACCAAACCATACTGATAAACCCTGTGTAAAATTTTCTCCAGTTAACTCAATTGTTGCTCCTGTACCACCACCATCAACCTAGAAGAAATTTTCATTTAAAATTCAAAGAAACAAAAGAATTTTTTCTCAACACATACAACAATACATTTTGCAATTGGTACTGGAGTTATTGGATGTGTTACAGGACCTCTTGCTTCAAACCATGTATATTCTGCTTTATCAGTTGATATTATTGTCCAACATGTTGCATCATTAATATCAACACGAAAACGTTCATTTTTACATGATTTACCCTAAAAATAATGAAAATAAATTTTCCTTTCTCTCTCTCTTTGTTTTCTTCTTCTTTTCATTAATTAATCATTACTGCTATTGCAACAATACGTTCATTGATTAATGATAAATAAATAAACTTTGATGAATGATTTTGAAATTCAAATGCACATTTATGTAATTGTGATACGGGTTCATCGGAATCGATTAATATACGATTTTTTTCGACTTTTCGAATAATCTTTTAATAGAAAAAATAAAAATAAAAATAAAAAAAAACATTCTTTTTATTTTTGTTTACTAAATAAGGTAGTGATTGATTTGTTATTGAACAAACAAGTTTAACTGTTGAACCATATTGAATATAACCTTCTTTAACTGAAAATTGATTTGATTCAATTGATAAATCATTATTATCAACTAAATGAATATAAAATGATCCCCATTCATGTGCACTTGCATGAAATTGTTTATTTTCATCAACATGTAAAAATCTTGTACTAACATTTTGACTTCTAACAACGAAAAGATAATCTGTTAAATAAATTTTTAATAAATATTTTCTCATACCGAAGGCGATTAAATAAAGCAATTTTTGTTCCCGATTGCATACATACTGCTATATATATATATATAAAAAGAGAAAGAAATTATTAAAAAAGAAAACAAAATTTTTTTTTTCTGTTTACAGTCAGCATTTTTAATTGATTGTTTTTTCTTTGATGGTTTTGATATAACTTTGATTTTTTGACTTTGAAATAATCCAATATATGGATTAGAATGATAATTATTTGTATAGATTATTTTTATATTTAAATTAATATATTTACGTTTATCAATATCAGATATAAATAATGTTTTAGCTGAACCATATTTTATATTTTCATTTTCAATTGATAATTTTTGCATTTCATTTGTTAGATAATTTTCATGTTCATTTGAATATAATGGTTCACTTATACCAATCATTGCACATAAATGTTCTTGTTCATGTAATGAAATTAATGATGATGAAGAACAAGATTTATTAAAATTAGAATTCCAACCATCACCCGATAGATAAACACATGGTGGTGGACAAAAAAATCTTTAAAAGAATTTAGTTTTGTTTTTTTTTTTACTTTAAGATGTTAAAGTACTAACCGTTTTTCATTTCCATAAGATTTTTGTGCAACTTTAGCATGAAATATTGTTACAGTACGATGACGACGTGTAGATAAATATGTTGACATTATTTCACGAGTTATTGGACGATCATCAAGTTCTTCATAATCATTATTATGTATATTTGATGTATTAGATGAGATTATTGATAGATTTTCTGATGATGTTGGCATAATCAGAATATTAGTTGATGTTATCCTACTAGCTGAGAAAAAATGATATCTTTTCTATTAAATAGAATAATGAAATAAATTTCCTCTTCTCGCTCTGTCTCTTTTTTCATTCGTCAATATTTTCATTACATCTGGCATATTTTCCCCATCGTTTAAATATACATAGAGAGAAAAGAACATATGAACTAAACAGACGATTATCATTGACAGTCAAGAGAGTATTGAAGAAAAGATCGTTCATATTCATCATTCTTATTTTTTATATGACAGATAAAAAAGAAAATATCTAACTATGACTACAGATAGTTATTTTATTCTCAGAATTTTGTTATCAATGATAAAGATTACTTACTAGTCATTAGATTCTTTTCCAATCGTTGTCGTTTATGAATAAGACGTTTTAGAGGTTTTTGATGATTTTTTAATATTGGATAATAATTCGTAACAATTAATTTGTTATTGGTAGGACTATAAACTCGAAATGATCTATTATTTTGAAGTATATTTATTGAATTCATTGGCACATTTGTTAACATTTGATACATAGCCAATTGCATATTGATCGTAAGTTGATAATCATTCTATGTCAAAAAAAGAAAAAATAAATCTTATTTAGCTCATGTAGCATTATTATAATAGATCTTTTTTCTGTATATAATCCTTTTTTTTGATCAAAATCAAAGAGACCGCACATCTGATGTTTTTTTCTTCCAATAGAAATAAAATATTACAACTATGGTATGAGATAAAATTTAGG